CTTGTCGATGTATACCAAATGATGTTCCCTGGCAACTTCTTTCGCGGTCTCTTCGCCACCTTTCACCTCAATCACCCACTCATTTGTGTAAATCGGCTGGTGATGAGGATGTTGATTATGATTAAGATGATTATGTTGATGATGATGTTGTTGCTGTTGATTAAGAAGATGATGTTGATGATAATTAAGATGATGGTTGTGGCGTATGTGAACGCTAATGTTGCTGCTACTCGCAGAAGCGTGTTTGGCTTCTACAGAAGTGATGATGGTGGTGATGAGGAGAGCGATGATGAAAAGGAGGTTATTTTTGGAACGTTGAGATGATTTTGTTGGAAACGATTTTTTTGCCGGTGATGTTGATGATGGTACTATTGTTGATGATGTCTGATGAAATGAGGATAGTGATAATATTAATGACGATACTAAAGATGTCGCTAGCGAAGATGATGACGAAAGCGATGACAATAATAATTTTTTATAGCATTCTACTCCATAAGATGATGACAATGGCAATGATAATAACGATGATGACGTTTTTGTTGGCAAACAAATTGGCGAATTTATATCCAAAGGGCAATTTAGCAATGAAGAAGATAATGATGGTGAAGATGATGAGGATGATGAAGATGAAGAGGATAGTATTGCGGTCGAAGATGACGATGACGTAACTGGATGATGATGTTGTTCACCCATTTTATATTTGCAGCGAAATGATGATGAGGAAGAAGATGAAGATTTCTTTCCAGAAAAATTATCATCATCTTTGTTGTCGTTGGTGTTGCAACTAATAATGCCACCGATGTCGTTGCTTCTTTTGTCGCTTTTCAAAACTTTGAAGCAGTTATCATTCAGCATATTTATGCGTTGCTGACTCTGAACATTTTTGCTTTTTAGGTAGCAGGTGTTTTTGATTTGGCCGTTTACAATGATCATTGTACTTCGGACGAACGTTAAATTTACAGAACGCAATAAAATTTTTAGATTCACTTCTAATTTTTTTCAATTTTTCTTCTCCTTCAACTAATTAGGAACCTGTAAAAAATTTGAAAATTTTCTGGTTCAACAATAACGACGATAAAGATGCTTAAATGATGTTGTTAACAAATATGATGATGACTATTTTGATGAATGACCTTGATTAATATTATGTCGATGATAAAGAAATGGCTGGGTAACTACCATTTCAATGAAGATAATAATATAATTATTTATATGATGATATATATCATTCAAGATGATGATACAAATTTTCACGTGACGATATATATCATTAAAGGTGATAATAGCTATAAAAATGATGATGAAAACTTTAAAGATAGATGTTGAAAAGTCGAGTGGAATATTTTTGGCAGTAATGGTTCTGACGAAGACGACGATGACGATGATGACGATCAGAAAAAAGCTAATTACGATAATCATGCTAAAAAAAAACTTAATTTCATCTGTTACGACTGTCTGTTGTGACGTAGTTTTAAATATTTACCTAATCTTACAAATTTGTTGGTAATAATACTAACACATTAATTAGTAAGAACGGTAGAATTAAAATATAGAAATAGAATATATAGAAATTATATATATATATATATATATATAATTTATATTTCCATATAATCGCTCGTTGTTGATTCGTTTGAATGCCTCTTCCTACCTAATAATAAATAATCCATGAAAAACCGGAGTTAAGTTATCCAGTCTGTCCTTCATTGCATTATTACAGGCTTCAACGTCGTATCCAAATCTTATATCCTATTTTATAAAAAAAAATAACTTAAAACAAATTTATTTTAACTAATTACAAATATTTTTATTACTAAATATAAATAAAACATAAATAAATATTAAAAATTAAACATATTTACGTATATCAAAAAACTAAAGCATCAATGAATAAACCAAAATACTAATAACAAAAAATAATAAACAAACTTACAGGTATAGACAGTCAGATATAAGCAAATTAACAATTACCTTACATCTTCTACATTGAACAATTCGAACTCATCCACTCAGACTTCTTTAGCATGTTAAATATCTGTTAAACGCCGACTAATATACTTTTATATATACATATATACAAATACAACAACATACATTTACATATATATGTATGGTATATATATATTGACAAAGATATAGCATGTCTAGGTATGTTTATTTAAGAATATATAAGATGCAAAGAAGTAGTTAGTTATCCTGGAAGAATGTTTATTAATTAATAAGTTAATAAGATTGTTTAGTTTATTTAATAAATAAAAAAACAGTTTAATAGTATATGAGTGTGTGTGTGTGCGTGTGGTGTGTGTGTTAATATGTGTATTATATATATATATATATTTTTGTATAAACAACGAAATATACAAATGAATATTTTAAACATCACAGATATTAGATGTGTGTATGTGTGTGTTTTGGCATGTGTGCGTGCGTGTGTGTGTGTGTGTGTGTGTGGCGTGTGTGTGTGATTGTTTTCAAATATATGAAATTTTCTATATAATTAAATTTACCGAGAATTGTTTATCTAAATATTTGTTAGTCTGTCTGTCTGTCTGTATGCCAGGAATGTATCGAGATATACAAGCCAACGGTATTGATATAAATTCTCGTTGTATCTTGTATCAAATGGTACCGTGTATAAATTATGATGTTTACACATGCAAACATTAATGTACGTGTGTGTGTGTGTGTATATGTGTGCGTGTGATTAGTTTTGTGTGTTTATGTATGTCTAGTTTTGTGTGTTTTTAAAGTGTGGTGGAAGAAGAATTGAAATTGAAAAATTTTAGAATTGGCATAAACTAGTGAATACTTCCCTTGTGTACCAAATATGCGAACAATCAATAAACGCATTGTCGCGTGTATGTGTTAATTCTTTTATTCATTCATTCATTCACTCATCCATTCATTCACGTCATTATTAATTCACTCATATTCTTATTCTTTCATTCATCCATTTTCCCGCCAAATCTATTATTAACCATAGATTCAATCATTCATACATGCATTCATCAATTCATTCATCCACTCACTCATTCATTCACTCATCAAACTATCCATTCATTCATTCATTTTTTCATGCATTTATTCATTCATTCCTCCAGAAGATTGCGCATTGCATTGTGACATGTCAACTACAGACGACGAACAAGACAAAGCTTGGTACGTACGTACGCCTGCACACATTTGCATAATTTTGCAACTTTTACATAACTCGATTTGATTGAAAGTGTGTGCGTGCGTGTCTGTGTGTGTTTGCGTAAGTGTGATTGTGTCTGTGTCTATGTATCTTTGTCTGTTTCTATGTGTGTCTGTGTGTGCGTCTTTGTCTGTGTGTATGTTTGCGTGTGAGTGTGTCTCCGTCTTCTTGTGTCTTTGTGTGCCTGTGTGCGTCTGTAAGCGTGTCTGTGCTCTTTAATTTATCATTAATCCTTAAATTTGTTACAAAATTATGTAACAGACGTTAATGATGTTAGATATTGTTGTAACACTACTTTGAACGCTCGTTACTACCACACACACACACACCACACACACACACACACACACACACACACACATACATACACACATACACACATACACATTTATACACATCCACCCAAATTTATAACACACATATCAAACATAAAACGTAAGTAAACCCAATGTTTGCTGTTACATCTATGGTTTCCTATTTGTTATCTTACAATTCCATTGCATAAGCGGAAACGCCCAAGTTTAATTGTATATGAATTCAAACACGTAATTTTACATAAGAGGTAGCATATTTATATTTATATTAATATCAATAATAATTTAAATTAATTGTAATTAACACCCACCCAATCTTAAAATCACACACATACTCACTCACACATACACGTACACACATAAACGCACACGCGCACAACCACAAACATATACAGTTATAATAATAATAATTTTCCTATTAAAAAGAATAGCAAAAATGATAATGACTAAGAGAAATTAAGGTTATTTTTTAATGAATATAAAACCAAATTGGTACGGGCTATGAATGTTGTCTTTGATGGCAGTAGTGTTTCATTTCTGTTGATTATTTTCATGTTTAGCGAACTACGCCTTTCTCCCATCACGTTTAGGAATTTATTCTCTGCGATGTTACATCGGAAGGAAATGTGAGATCTGAGCGATGATGACGTCAGTAATGACTTTAATGTCATTGACGATGTTAATATCTGAATGGTGTTGTTGATGATGTTAATGTTAGTGGTGTTGAATTGTTGTTGATGATGTTAATGTTATTGATGCGTTTCTGTTGTTAGCTTTGTTTTTTTTTACTGGTTCAATTGAAAACTTTTTGTGCAAATCAATTTGAATATGACGAAAAAAAACACAACTCATCAATATCGAACTAAGAACAACTCAACGAAGCATCAAACAGACGACAACAAAGACAAACAAACAACAACACAAACAAACTAACAAATACTAACAAACAATTTTCAATCTAACTAAGCACACACACCTCAACTCTCCCATCATTATTAACACATTTATTTCGTATTAACTTTAAACAATGGCTCGACTACTCATTCACTCAGCTATCTTTCAACACCCACAACATTGCACGCACGCACATTCACACAATCACACATACGCACACACACACACACAGACACATTCACATACACACTCACACACACTCAAACATGTTCTTTCACGCATCACGCACAAACCTAACATAAACACATGTATTCAACACATGTTCGTAAATCAATTCATGTGATATATATATATATATATATATATATATATATATCACACATATATGAGCACACTCATATTATATATATATATATATATATATATATATATATATATATATATATATATATATATGTTTATTCAATAATTCATGTAATGTTCACACTGGACTGTTTTCTCTTACTTTTAATTTGTTCTCTTCCTTTTTTCTTTCTCTCTCTCTTTTTTCTCTCACTCTCCCTCTCCTTCTCTCTCTCTCTTTTTATTGTACCGAATTACATATATACTAAATTCTAATCAATAATTAAACAATTAATACCGTGATATCACGTCAAAGATGATTGTGATTAGCATTAATCTGGTGT